TCAATATCAAAGTTCTGTTTGAATTTTTCTATCTTTTTTGTTTCAAACTTTTTTTGTTTTTGCAATGCTTTTATTGAGAGCAAGGGAACGATTCCAGTGTAAGCAGCCTTCAGTTCTGAAATGTATCTCCATCTGTATCTGCATCTTAACTTTCACAACCTTTACCATTATTCTCTTATTTCATCCCAGCTGGATGATTAGAAAAATGGTCTCCCACAAGGTTTCCTCAATTGTCTCCTGTCTCCTTGGATGAGACAATTTCCTGCCCGCCGCTGCCTGATCAAATCCCAGCCATGCGTGTCTCACTGCTCCCCCTGGCAATGTGAGCCATCCCACCCTCGCACACTTCCTCACTGTGCTCCATAACGGTTTCACTTCACAATTCAAGACTATCTAAAATCTGACAGAGTGTTGTCTATTTATTCTTCTTTCCTCCACCCCTCCTCTATTCAGTACGCTGCTCTATTCAAGTAGATTTCTTCATTCTCTCCTAAATTTATCACAATTTCCTCCTGTTCTTACTCTGCTCTAGTCCACCTTGCAGAAATCAACCTTCATTTTTACCTGATAATATCTCCAAAGCTTCTTAGAGCTTAATGTGCATCTGAATCCCCTGAGAATCTTCAGATACAGAGTCTAATCCCCCAGGCGTGGAGTAGGGCCCGGGGTTCTGCCGTTCTGACTCCTCCCCCGTGATGCTCATGCTGCTATTCCATGGGTTGCACTTTGAGAAGCAAGAATCTAAAGCACTATTTGAGATTAGATCGAGCTTTTCTCCCGCAGGAAGTTTTCCTACTCTGTCTAAGAGTGTCCTGGCTCCTCTGTGAACTCCAGTGGCCTTGACAGTGTATTGTGGTAGGGACCCTGTTCCCACACTGGCCTAGTGCGCTACTTCCCTCTTCTGTGAGCCCCCAGGAAGAAGGCCTGTGTTATGGGGTTTTGTGCTTTCCATGAGCATCTTTTTTTTTTTTTTTTAAGATTTTTAAAATTTATTTATTTGAGACAGAGAGAATGAGAGAGAGAGAGCACATGAATGGGGGGAGGGTCAGAGGCAGAAGCAGG